ACGGTACAACCATGCAAATCTGCTTTGAAGGATGCCAACATTGACGTTAATGAAATCGGTGAAGTTATATTGGTTGGCGGTATGACTCGCATGCCTTTAGTCACCGAAACGGTGAAATCGATTTTCAAACGCGAACCCACCAAGAGTGTAAACCCAGACGAAGCCGTGGCCGTTGGAGCAGCGATTCAGGTGAATCTATTAATTTTATCCTTAGGTCTTCTCTTTGGATGATATTTTTTATATGAAGAAATCTGTATTTCTTGATTAGGGTGGTGTATTGGCTGGTGAAGTAACGGACATTTTACTCCTGGATGTTACGCCATTATCACTTGGCATTGAAACGCTCGGCGGTGTGTTTTCACGACTTATCAACCGAAACACCACCATTCCAACAAAGAAATCACAAGTGTTTTCAACGGCCGCTGACGGTCAGACAAAAGTGGAGATCAAAGTATATCAAGGCGAACGGGAATTAGTCCGAGATAATAAGTTACTCGGTAATTTCCAATTGGGTGGTATTCCGCCATTGCCCAAAGGAGTTCCACAAATCGAAGTCACATTCGACATTGATGCGGATGGTATTGTAAATGTTGCAGCACGGGATATAGCAACGGGAAAAGATCAATCTAGTAAGTATGAATAAATACCCTTAGGCTTACATATAATTATATCATCATATGACCACATTTGTTTCACATCTTGTCACCTTGAAATTGAAAGTCACCATCGCTGCCTCATCTGGGCTAAGCAAGGACGAAATTCAAAATATGATTTTCGAAGCCGAACGTCACGCCGAAGAGGATCGCGAAAAGAAAGAAACCATAGAGGCATCCAATCGTGCCGAGGCTACAATTAGCGACATCGAAAAAAGCATGAATGAATTCAAAGATCAGTTAGATCAAACAGAGGCTGAAAATATTAGATCCCAGATCCAATCCTTACGAGATCTGATGACTAGAGCACAGGCTGGCGAATCCGTCAAGGTTGACGAAATCAATAATAAAATTGGTGAAGTACAAAACGCTAGCTTAAAGTTGTTTGAAATGGTATACAAAAAGGTTAGAATCACGCGCGGTGTACTTTTCGGTCCCTTTCACAATTGATTATCGTCATACTAAATCTATCTTGTAAATTTAGAGAGAGGCAGAAAATCGATCTGATGGCGGGGAAGATGGAAGTTCAAAATCTGAATAAACACTTTTATTGTTTTAAATGAGTTTGGTATCACATTAGAGAAAGAGTAAAAGAGATGTTTTCATTCATAGTTTGAACATCATATTTTCAGTAACTACCGAAGAAATGAGTGGATTTGAGGTATCGACGCAAGCAAAGCAAGTGTTATATGAAATTTGCAAAATTCTAAATACAAAACTCGGTATCTAAAGGTTTTCTATATTATTAAATGAATGAAGATGCCAAACAACACTAATATTCTATGGTTCGATTGAAATTATTATGCTGATTTGCGCTTCTTTTAGCCTTTTTCGACTTCTCCACGGTACAAACTCCATTTTTAAAAATGGAACTTTTTTTATTACAATGAAGTTGCTTCCATTTGTAGTTTATATTGATTTCGACGCCAACGCCATAACGAACAAGTTCATAAGGATGCGAGAGTACATTCTTCGTAGCTTGAAGCGTTAACCTTTGAAATTCCCTTTTGAATTTGTTTGCTTCTTCGGCGTATAACTCGCGAATTCCAGGAAGTGAAGAAATATGAACGTCATTGGTAGAAACCTTGTAATTCCCGTCGTGTTTGGTATTACCAATCAACACGAACAAAGCGATAAAAGCCAATAAAATTAACGTTAAAAAGAGATTGACAGAATTTTTTCCAGCTCGTCCGTTGGGATTCTTATACTTGTCGAAGTAAAGAACCATTCGCGCAGGCAAACAAATAGCTTTCAGGACACACCAGAGTGGAGCAATTAGAATGAACAAAATAGTCCAATGGACTTTTGATAAGATGTGTTGCTCATCGTCGTTGTCACTTTCATTTTCAAGTGCAGATGGAGCAAATTCTTCCGTAATAGGAATTTCACCGTTGGCGATTGTTGATGTAATTTTATACTTGATTGATGTGGTGTTGTTCACATTTCGTGAGGTATCTGTTTTGTTGCTCTTATTCCTAGAGTCATTTCGGCTTGAAGAAGAATTAGTTACCGTCAGGAGCGTTGTACCTCTCGACTTTTTTTTCGGTTTCAATTCCGAAGTAGCATTTTTATTAGAAGCAATTGACTCAATTGGAGCTTCCGAAAAGTTTCCTCCGTAGCTGTGGTATGAACTTGCAGCGACGGTTATCATGGGATCCTGTTCTGCGCTAACAGGGAGTATCTTGACCATTAACGGCATTAATGCTCTTGATAGAATAACGTAGGAGAGAGATCTTTTATTTACTGTACGTACTTTAATTAATGTTGAACGCGTAGAAAACGCGTCATAGTAATTTGGTGCAACATTTATAACACGTGAAATTTAGATTAACCAATGAAAACCTAGTTCGTTTGCTTAAACATATGCGTTTTAAATACATCTTTCTTTTATTAAAAAAATGAATTTTTTCCTTACTCATTATATGCTTGTGATCTTTGATATTCTCGGTTGTCCAGGTATTTTTCCATTTTTCGTATCGCTCGTTTCTTTAATATATAACCTTTTCCGCGTTGGTCAACCGAGTACAAACACATTCAATGTTGCATCAATAGTTAGCAAATTAAAGTAATTAAAAACTTAAACCCTAAAAACGTTAAAAAAGGTCTAAATTTGTCAGTATGGTGACACGGACAAATCGGGGCGTTGCTGGGCCGAACGTAATGTATCCGAGGTACATTGAAAATTAAAAGCAATGCTAATAATTTGACAGTGACGCGATCTCAGCCCTGAAAAAAAGTTCGCACAATAATATGTCTATCGCTGTTACAGCAAAGATTTCACAAAACGCAGTTTTCTTTGCCGGCGAACGATTTCGCTGTGAGATTACTTTCACATACCTTCTTCCTAACGTCGAAAGATTTTCCAATGATGTCAAAACTCATTCGAAATCCAACAGCGACACCAAATTCCAAGGAAGGAAAACCTCAACCAGACAAATGTCAAATGGTAATCCACTGTCCGTTATAGTGGAGAATCCTTCTATTCAGAATAATATTGCTGGAGATCTAGACGACTCTGGAATGTTTGGCTTTCGTAATCTCGTCAGGCGTTCAGCAACTTTGACTGCAATTGCATCTTCAACATTTTCGTTGCTATCGTTAAGTGGGGGGGAATCATCCGTTCCGTCGAATTCCAACGAAACTTCACCTCAAACCGTTCAAAAAATAAAAGGCGGTATGCATGAAATTTACTTTTAGCGATTAGTGGTTTTGCATTGGTGATCTAATATTAACATTTTACTTTTTCCAGAGTCATTCTCCTACACTGAAATTGAAGAGGTTGACGGAGACGGCGGACTAATTAACTTGCAACACGCCGATGCTAGCGATACTGTTTCTGTTAGCGATTATGACACATCTGAGTCAACACCAAGGAGTTCTGTGGACTTTTATGGGCTTGGTTATTCTGAAAGAAGTAGCAACACGTGGGGTGGGTCAATGTCAGAGTATAAAAAGCATAGTACAAGCAGACATTCATCTTCTCCTTCTCTTATTCAAAAGTATGAAACGTTGTTATGGGGGTTTGCACAAATAGTGGGACAATTCATGGTTGATAGTTCATTGGTGAAGTCAATTGAATTTGAACCATTAAAAACAAAGACAATGTATCGACCAGCTGTTGGGGGTGTAGCAGGAGGTGCGGTTGGTGGTGGCACTTTGGGCATATCAAATTCGATGCATCTATCAAGTTTACAAGATCTACAAGAACGTGCAGGTATCTATCGTCTGCATTATTGTTGACCAAAAGTTTTTCTAACTTTAATTGCTGATCTCTTACTAGACAGTAAATCTATACCTGTTTTTTCTACACCGCCTTCGATTCTATTCTGCGATTTACATTTGGCTCCGGGGGAGACTCGAACTTGTAATGTTTTATTCTAAGCTTTCTCTGTAATTTAGAAATTTGACATGATATACATTTACTTAGAAAAATTTAAACTGGATAGACACGTATGAGACTAGGTTACCGACCGATTTGCCTCCATCGCACCGCGGTAAAGCAATTCGATTTCAATATAATTTAATAATAGGAACTCATCGAGGAGGGTTAAATCATCAATCAAATATAGTTCAAATGCCTTTCCGCGTCTTCAACTATGTTTCTGGTAAGAAAAAAAATTGCTTAGATGAAAGAAGGTTCATCGTGTGTTAACATTTCTCATCTATCATTTAATAGAGGACGGGTCACGCCCGGTTTATGACCTGATGAACCCAGTCATAATTTACAAAGATGAAGCGACAACGACATGTAAAGAGGATGGTGAGACAAAACCGAAGCCAGTCAAAAAAAGAGGTATTCATTATGATCCAGTGTCATTCACGATTCTTGTCGAGAATGATGATCATGTCAATCATTGGCTTGTTTATTCATAGATAACAAACGTGAGGAATTTTTGGATTATGTTGAGAAACTTGTTCAAAGCACCAATAACGAGGAAATTGTAATGAATAAGAGGGTCTCAGAAAAAAGAGATAGTGACACATATGTGTTTGTAGAAAAAGATGAAAATTCCGTCGCGAATACCGCCGCAATATTATCTAAACATATGAGGAAAGGTACTTGTTATATATAAATCAATCTAATAATTTACTCAAACCTATTTAATACGCACGCATAACGATCGTTTCCGAACAAATTTCAGCGAATTATGATATCTGTAAAAACAATCAATGTGTCGCTCAATTATGTCTATTAAAAACATCTTATCGACTGGGTGACATTGTTATCGGTACACTAAACTTTGCTGAAGCTGTCATACCCACTTATCAGGTTAGCCGACGAAACATGATCATGTTGGACTAGGAAGAAAAATTTTTTCACGAATTTAACATCAGAACCTTTGTTATAGGTTTCTATAACATTGGAGAATAGCGAGACTGTTGAGCCATCGATTGCAAACCGACCACAACCACAGATTGCGCGAGTGACACGCAAAGTACATGGAGAACATCATGAATTTTGTTTGAATGCACAACGCATCAGCTTTGCTATTTCTATACCAACAAATTGTACTCCGGATTTTGCCACAACTGGAGGTGAATATCACAATGCATCGATTTCTAATCTATCACTTCAATCCCTCATTTTAATTGTTTTCTGTAGTGAAACTTCAGTGGTACTTACGGTTGGAATTCATCACTGGGCCAAAGGATCAACTTCCATTAGTGTCTCTCAACGTCGATGAAAGGCATCATTACCATCAAGCAATCGAAGAAGTTAATGTTGAAACCTTTGATTGTTCTATTCCAATTAAAGTATATCCAACATCATATGAGTCTGCACGGACATTTCCTTCTCAACATATATTTCGTGTAACATAATTTCATTTCAATATTATTAGAAATTTTAATTTGTTTGATTTTATAGATGTCTACTATATGTTTTTATTACAATTAAAAATTCATAGTAAAGTTATTATTATAGAATGGTTTGATAAGTTGAGTAATAGGCTATAGCATTAGATTATTCTGGTTTATTTGTTATTTTTAAATTGTATATATTACAATTGTAAATTTTTTTTATTACTTATTAATAACAAATATTAATACATTTATTATTATTATTATTATTTTATATTTATGTAATTATTATTAATCTTTTTTTTAATACTATATTTTAATAAAAAGGAGTGAGTTTGTATAAATAATCAAAACTACATAATTCTTTAATTTAACCACGTTGTTTGTCTCCTGGTATAATGACATTTTCATCGTTTAAATGCTGATCACCATTTTTTTCAGTGAGCATATTAAATAATCAGATTATCAATTTTTACTCTCGAATCATGAGGGTTAACAGGTTAAAATCAATTTTATTTACCGTTCCCACTTGCAAACAATTTAACCAATGCATACGTCCAAATGAGTTCACCTTTGTCATCCCCTCTAGAGAAATTAGAGGTAAGATCACGTTATCATTCGTTCAAATTCCTTATTTCTTAGAAACCTTTTATACCATATCTACTTTAGAATTTCAAAGCTCACCTTCACGAGCATCCTCGTCAAAAAAAGGCGTGAAAACGGAAGCACCGATAAAAGTAGTATCATCTGTACCGGCCGGAACAATCTTGAAAGGAATAAATATATTCAAGGGTGGGTCTGACCCGATATCGAAACTCGACGAAGAATATCCTGATTGGTTGTGGGAATTGTTGGATGAGGAGAAACAGAATGCTTCGAGGGAAAACCAATATTCTCGAAGTTATCACAGATATCAAAGAAAGCAATTGATTAAAAACAATAATTTTGATAGGAGTAAAAAGAGATGAAAATGGTCGAGACTGTCACAAATAAAACTGAAATCTTTGTGATAAATAAGCAATCTCTTGTCAATCCTTTTAAAAATACATTATTAAATAATTCAATGCAAAAATTACACACTTTGTAAAACATTTAATGATTTTTATAAAATAAGTTCATTTATTAGAAAACAATTTTAAAAATAAATTATGTAATTTATTTTTTTAGAAAGAGCTTTAATGCAAAACTTAAATAGGTTATCCATTTATTTTTTTTTTGTTTTTTTTTTTGTTTTTTTTTGAAGGAGCAAATGGCTATTGCACTATCATTTATTATTATAATTTTAGACTTGCGGGTTACAAGATTTACAATGTGGAAAGCATGACATACATCTCTCTT